TCGGGGTCCATTCCCATCCCTATACTCGTCGCTTTGCAATCTATGATGTATCCAAGAAAATCGGAGAAGTTCACAAAGAACCCTAGTTTTTATCCTAATTACAAAGTGACCCCTTAACTTCTTCTAATCTCTAAAACCTCGGAGGCGCATATCTTCAAAACCTATCGCCGTCGCACTGTAAATCACGTCTAAAACCCTGCTTTCCTGGTTTTTCATTTTTCCATCACCATCTTCCATGATTACACAAGGAAAAAGCCATTAACATGAAGAAATACTACTATCAACGAATTTCCCAGTCCCTTTTACACCACCAATTTCGTTTATCAGGGTGCCGAAGCCCTAATTTGATTGAATCCCATCCTCCACAATGTACCCATTTGCATACACTCCGAGGATTCTGTTCTTCTCCACAACAATCAAATTCGAACTCTTCAACACCCTCCACTCGCGTCTCGGAAATCGTTAACGAGCTGATGAATTTAACGTTGCTGGAATCCGCGGACTTAACAGAGGTCATGAGGAAGAAAATGGGCATGAATGAGATGCCGATAATGGCGGTGATGATGCCCGGGATGGGGTTGAAGACCGGAGTGAAAGGCGGCGGTAGTGGTGCGGTGAAAGGAGGCGAAGAGAAGGCGGCAGAGAAGACGACGTTTGATTTGAAACTTGAAGGTGGATTTGATGCTGGATCCAAGATTAAGATCATTAAGGAAGTAAGAACTTTTACTGATTTGGGTTTAAAGGAGGCTAAAGAATTGGTGGAGAAAGCTCCTACTTTGTTGAAGAAAGGGGTGCCCAAAGAGGAAGCTGAGAAGATAATTGAGAAAATGAAGGGTATTGGTGCTAAAGTGGTTATGGAATGAGGTAATTTTATTGAAATGCTTTAATAAGTATGCTTTGAAGTGGTTTTTATGACATCAGAAGTGTCTTTGAGCTTTGAATTGATGTTGATTTTGAACTGTTTGAAAGACATATGATGATCATTTGCATTACAATTTATCAAATCGCTTCGAATAGAACAATCTTGCTGGTAAATTGGTGACATAATCCATTTCAAGCTTGCATTTTTAGGTTTTGAATCAAAGGTCAAGTTGTAGTTTCTTTTTCATTGCTTGGAGGATATTATTTTTCTTGTTTTGGATGAATGTTACTGTCATTCAACTGATGAATGCAGTTAAGTGAAGGTTTCATATATGTCTTCAGTTGAAGCCAATTATGGTTTGGATTGGTAAGATCTACTTTGAGCTTCCAAATGCTCAAATGAATTCTACATATTGAAAATTACTCAGAATCATGTAAAATTGCCTGTAATATGTTCATTTTCGGTACCTATTATAGTACATATTGTTTACTTTGATAATACTCGTATGTGAAAACATCTATACAACTTGGGAGTATAATTTCACTTGAGTTGAACGTAGTTCGCTCACCATTTGCTTATATTTGACATAGTGTGAAGACTTCCCCAGCTGACTCGAATTTGGGCTTCTTACACAATTAATAGAAAATAGATTTTGTGTCTTTCTTGTTGTAAGTTAAACTTTCTGTTTCTTAATTCCTGCTTCGTAGATTTGAGGATGCTTTGGAGTTGTAGGGTTTAGAAAATTTTAAATCTTCTATTAATATGTTACAACATAAACTCACATTATTATGATATGTGGGTGGTTGATAATTTTTGCGTTATGGTTTCTTATGAGATTGTCATGAGTCGAGTTCATGTTGAGTGGCACTTGTTCCTGTTAAAAGACCGAATGCACTCAATAATTTCAATTATATTTATGGTAGACATTCATGTCGAGTTTAGGCATGTACATACATCTTGCAGAACCTTGCTAGTTATTGTGTAGCATTATATATGTAGGGAAAAATGGTAGCTGTAGAGACAAATAGTGGTTAACAAAGAGATTTCTTCATGCTAATAGTGGTAAAAGGCTTGGGTACCGAGGACTGGACTAGGAGTGTATGCTAAAAGGACCTACACCGGTTAGGATGGACCAGACCCAGGCTCTTTTTTGGCTGAAGCCTGGTTGAGATGGACTGGACCTGGTTAGAACTGGACCCTAGGACTGGTTATTTTCAGTTTCTACTCACCAAGTTGTAGCATTTCCGTCTTCTACTTTATTTGGTATGTGGGACAGGACGGGACAATGACAGAACAAAATTTTGATGTCCCACGTTTGATGCGACAATTAGACAATTAGACTGGACCAGGACAGGACTAATTGGGACAAAAATGCAGTGTTTTTGTCTCACCAAAATAGGTGGAATAAAATAAGGAAAATGAGACAAGAAAGTTAAATTATTAAACTACCCTTGTCAAATTAAAACAATAAATCCTTGAAATATTCCACAATTCTTTCAACCGCCTACCTCGATATAGCCAATATTGTCCCATCCGGTTAAATCTTACTTATATGCATACCAAACGCACCCTAAGAGAACATGCCCTAAGAGAACATGCCCAGGCACTTTTCGGGTTTGAGGGATTACCTCAACCGTCAATAAGGTTTGGGCCTTTGGGGCTCCACCCCATAAGTTGCCTGTTCGAATCCTTCCAAGGCCACTAGGAATTTTCCTGGATTTTCTCCGGGGTCCGAATGGGATTAATCGATGTGTGCGCAAGTTGGCTCGGACACCTATGATTACCCAAAAAATACACGTTGAAATCTACTTGAATGATAGTCTATCTTTATAGATACTGATAAGTAAATTTGTGGTTGTTTGGGTAACAAGAATTTATAAACTTTTACCCTTCTATTTTGTATTCAGGCTTATCAATGGTGCAGATTTTTCTTCAAATGTCGGAGATGATGGCAAGACTTCCGTACTGAGTTCTTGTTTCCTTTGTAGAACAAGTATGTATTCATGTTTGTTTGCCACCATGTAAGCTGTTTTAAGTTTGGTTTTTTTTTTTGAATACACATAGGAGGAAAGGAACTGTATCTATCTTTTTTGAAGATGGATTGAATAGTGGAAGATGGTTCGTCTTCATTCTTCTAGAAACTTGTAATTCTTCCATCCCTAAATAATCGTAACAGATCATAGATGCTGTCATGTTACAGATGTTGCAACAATTTGGCATCATCATCGTATGGGCAAATTGCATGAGAAAGTAACGTACTTTAACTTTGATTTTTATTTTGGGTAACGTATTTTCAAAACTTTCATTTTGGTACTTAAGATGTAATATTTTAAACATTTAAGTACCCGGATAACCGGTTATTTTTTTTATGCAATTTGGCCCGTAACATTCATTTGTTACCTTTAAAGCTATATGGATTTAGTCATGGTTTGCGTGATTTGATGAGATTAGGAATTGGATTCTATTCCGATCTTGTATTTGGGCATTTGGGGTTTGCGTGATTTGATGAGATTAGGAATTGGATTCTATTCTGATCTTGTATTTGGGCATTTGGGGTTTGTGTGATTTGATGAGATTTAGAATTTGATTCTATTTCGATCTTGCATTTGGTTTAAAGAAATTCTGGAATTAAAATCCAACAAACATTCCATGGGATAATTTTGCAGATTTATTTGTAATAATGTTTTAAATTAATATAATAATCGATTAATAAAAAAATAATTTAATTATTTTTATCTACTATTTATAAAAAATAAATTTCAATTTTATTTCTGTAAAGAGTAAACTGAAAACACAAATGCAATTTATCATCCTTGCGGTTTTTCTTGACTTTTGTGTCAATTTTCTCTTTTTATAGGCTAATAATTTTCTATTTAATGAAACTATTCCTAATTATACAACACTTTTTAAACTTATAATCTATTATGGATTTATTGAGTTTTGCAATAACTGTTAGCATCTTTAGACTATTAAGGTATATCTAATTTGATTAAATCTAATTCTTTATAAATAATATATATATATATATATATATATATATATATAAAATAATAATAATAATAATAAATATTTAATATACCCATGTTACCCGGTCCCGTCCGTATTTTGGGGATCTCCCTCCCATCCCTGATCCATAGCCTTGTCGAGGCGGGTACACGGGGTTCTTCAATAAAGTTGGTTTCATTCAGATGCCTAGCCACCGCACAACCTAAACACTAAAACGTAGTAGACGACTAAAAGATAAAATGAACATTAGTGCAATCCGGACCTTATTGAAGAGGTTCCTAAGACACAACATTCTTGGAACAGCTGGAGTAAAATATCCCCAAGTGAGCGGATTATGGGGGATCGACTTATAATTGGTCTTGCCCGAGGAGGCTTCGCTATCGCTTCTATGCAGTGTAGTGGTCGTAAGTGAATTAAGGTGCTCTACTTGTCTCGTCACATAATTTATCAATACTGATTTCTTGATGTCACAATTTATCGGGATAAGTTCAATTCATAACACCCTTCCATAAAAAGTTGTTATTCCCGTCCCAGTCCAACAAAAGAAATTGCAAATGATGTTTAACTAGTGCATTTATCAATATATTAACGTTCCTTTTGTACTCAATTACAAATATAATTCAAAATGTTATCATAGTGACCATTAAAATAATCCTTTTAGGCGGGCAACAAATTAATATGCTACTTGCTAGATTTTAGGGCGCTAAACTTTAAACTAATTTAAAAATGCATTAAAATTATATTTGGATACAAAGTTTTTTTTTTTCTTATAATCTGAATATCGAATCTATTATGTAAGCGGACTAATCCCATGAATACTACCTGTTTTGTTGGTAACCCGACGTCACCGCATTTGAACATCTGTGACCACAAGAAAATTTTTATTCCTCATTAAATTTGAACTTGAGACCTCCAAGTACTTTAATCTTTAGATCCCAAGTTTAAACCATTTGGATAGAAAGTTAAAACTAGTGTAAATAACATCAAAAAAAAAGTATTTGTTTTATATTTAAGTGAAAATTTGATTATTGATAATACCAAACCTGCTATGTTATCTCAATATTTCGTTTCATATTTATAACCTACTTTTGGTAATTCTATTTTTACGTCTCCAACGAATATTTTGAGAAATAAATTTTAATATAAAAGAATTTAAAAATAAGTTTTTATTTACGGAAGTATATTTTATTTTTCTCTACAAAATTTTATTATGTTCTTTTAGTTGCTTCAAAGTTATAGAATATTTTTTAATATTCAACTTTCGGTAAAATAAAGTATTTTATTAAATTTACTTTTTAATTAGTTATTTTGATTTGGATCGATGATAATCTATACTATATTATAATACATTTGAAAAAAAACTCTTAAAAACCATTTTTTATGCATAAAATGTTGTTTATTGATGCATATTACTTAAAATTCAATATTATAAGTAAATTATGCGTAAATACGACTTACTAAAACTTCATGTTTGAATTCGTATAAACATACTCAAATAGAGGATAAACATCTTATTTTAAATATAAAAAATCTAAAATATAATTAGAATAATTATTGAAATCTAACAAAATACTTAATTATTATTTTTATAAAAAATATATTATTAAACCAAAATTTAAAAAAAATGAATTAAAGAAATATACAAAAAGAAGAAATTTTAAATAGAGCTTGGTATCAATATCATTTTTTTTTTCTAATTTTTATGATGTCTTCATATCTATATTTTATTTAAAAATAAAAACATTATGGTTTTCTCAAACCACATAAAATTGTATTATAACATCGACTGAGACAAAAATAAATAAAAGAAAACATTAAAATCAAGATGTATCTCGTTGCATTATGCGAGTAACTTTCTAATTAAGTTTAAATGTTTAGATTAATTGACCGTGATTCTTATTTTTCTTTAGTTATTTAAAATCTAATTAATCAAATTTGAATTATGAATCATAAAATATTGGTTATTAAGTGGGTAATTGTGATTGTTTATAAAAATAATTTATTGAGTTGTTTTTCGGTGTGACACTGATAATAAACACTTTTGAGTATTTGGATAAATAACTTATACAGATGCCAAATTAGTAATAAATTTAATAAAAAAAAATTAAACCCTTCTGATTTATAACAAGTTTAATTTTATAGAAAAACATAACATATTTCAAATAAACAATTCCAAACACCCCCTCAACTATATATTGTTGGTGAAAAATAGCACCCCGGAAGACAAAGATGAAAAGAGTTGCGTGAACGTGAAGGAGGATCTGGTATGCATTTCAAAGGAGGACCAACGGAATAACCATCTTTAAATACGTACTTTGCACGCAGGAATGCAACCCAAGTTAAAAATGGCGGTGGATTGGCAATGGGAGACCGCCGCTGCCGGCTCCATCGCTGGACTTGCTACCGTCACGTTTTGCCACCCCCTTGATGTTGTCCGCACTAGATTCCAAGGTGCCTGAATCTTCATCTACTCAAATTTCGATTCGTTTCAATCCTCTGTTAACAACTTCATATCGTATTTTTGTTTTGTTGATTTATTTGATCTAACAGTTAATGATGGTCGGAACCCTAACCTTCCGAGCTACAAACATACTCCTCATGCTCTCTTCACTATTGCTCGTGCAGAGGTTCGTCTTATTTAAAACTACTCATTCTCGCTAATTTGTAATTTCTCCGGTTTATGAAAATGGTCTTTTTATAGCTCAAATTCTGCAAATTTTCCTACTTACAACTATCAAAAGCATTTTTAAAGTTTCGTTGCATTCTTGTTTCTTACTTGTTGTTGATTTGATCTTATCTCTATGTAAAATAGCTATTTCAATTGAGTGTTTCGTATGAACTGCTCTATGGTGAAAACGTGGTTTCTTTGTATTTCTGGGGTCAAAAGGGAATTCAATTTATTCTTTTTCGATGATTGTTGGTTTTTGTTTCACATACAAATCGAAGAAATAAAAATGGAAGCTTGATGTATGATATGGTGCAAAAGGGTTCGGTTTTAAAAATTACTTTTAAGTAAATCTAATCAACTGTGGCAATGATCCCATATGGAACATGTACATCAGACGCAGGGATGATCCATATGGAACAAATATACATTCTCTCACGGAGATAAGCATTTAAGTAATTACTGATTGAGTCTACACCAGTGTAATTTGATCTTATTTTATTTGGTGTAAGCAATCTAGTAACATAAGCTTTGTTCTCCACGCAATCCCTCCCTTGATTTCTTATTACTATTATCAATATATGCATGTTCGACCATCATTCAAGCGAACATAAACTTTTTTTCGATCTAAGTTTGCTTGTAACATTTTGTTCTGAAGCCTTCTTTTAGTTTTCTTGCTGCATTAATTATGGAATTGAATTATTTGGTATGATATTGTATCCATCGTGCCAACTGCCAAGTAGAGGGTAGAGAAAGTAGGAGCAAGGTTTATCCCTACACAAATCTTATCAAAGTTTTGCATCCATTTATCCTTCTTAATGTCATTATATCTAGGAACTGGGAATCTTATTCTATGGGTTAGGTATCAACGTGAGTTCGAGTGTAAAAGGTGGTGGCACATTGGTAAAACTGATCGTAACTTGGACTGCTTTTTAAACGGTACTTTCTCATTCCAAAATTAAAGCACACTTTCCAAACCTTGCAAAGATAGAAGATGTATGTAATTCTGAATGACAAGTACAAGTGCATTGCTTTGTTTTACACTAAATTGGCTTCTTGTTTCCTTACCGAGATACTCAGTAAGAGGATGGACTAGGAATACAAGAGGAACAAGGGTTCTAATTTCAAACATATAAATCTTAGATTCAAAAGAGGAACCCCATTTTGACTGAAACTGTCAAAATGTATATTTAATTTAAGGAAAGTGATAATATCATTATTAGCTAACCAGAAGAGATTTTTATTATATCTCCCTCAACACCTTTAGAAGACATTCACATCTTCTGTTTAACATTGTTATTTATGCTTTTAATTATATAGTAACCATTTTTTCAGGGTCTCAGAGGGCTCTATGCTGGCTTTTATCCTGCGKTACTAGGGTCAACTATCTCGTGGGGTCTATACTTCTACTTGTAAGTGAAGTACGAGCCATATTAATTGACCCTACCTGTTCTACTTACTTTGTACTTTTATAGCTATTGTACTCGTCAAATGTGCAAATTACATTTGCACTATTGCTTGAATGCTTTATAATCAGACACAGACTGAGTCTTAGTTTCCTGCCTTGTTTTTCTCATGCGGCTATAACCCATAGGCTCTCATGCTTAGTAACATTGTCAATAGATCTATTCTTACAATTAAACACTGGTTCTAGATGTATGTCTTTAGTCAAACATTTCACATGATGCAACTACCAATATATACCTTAATAGAATTTATTTCTTTATACCAGATATTGTATTGATGGAAATCTTAAGGTTTTAGGAGCTATAAGCTTTGTATGCATAGAAACCTTCACAATAGGACAAGGCTGATATAGTGAGTTTTTCCAGTTACTCTTTTGTTGAATGTTGTTGGTTATTTTATAATTTCACTTTTTCATGCATTGGACTTCGGCTGCATTCTTTTTCATGCATATCCGACCTCTTGACATGCCGTGTACTCTGTTTGTAGCTATAGCAGAGCCAAACAAAGGTATATGATAAATCGAGAAGGGACAAGCCCGGGTATCCATCTTGCTTCAGCTGCAGAAGCAGGAGGGTTGGTGAGTTTGTTGCACTTCTCTTGCTTTTAATTTTTGCGATTGATCACAAAAAAGGGGGCTTGAAGGGTCATCCCATTTGCTGCTTTAATATCTTAAGGTTGACTAGTCGTCCGTTGCTCATTTCCGTATGATCTACATTGGTTCCCAATATTGTGAAGAAACTGAACACATGAGGAAGCATCTAATCTCTGATGTAATTTGAATAATTATCAAGATCTAGGTTGTTGTCGCCTCACTTCTATAAGTTGTTACTCGTTTCTCTTTTAATATCTTGAGCTAGATCTGTATGTGCTCCACTTTATTTTGTTACTATAGCAAGGTTGTTACTTTTCAGGTATGTCTTTTCACCAATCCTGTTTGGCTCGTGAAGACAAGATTACAACTTCAGACTCCTCATCACAATACTCGGCAATATTCTGGTTTTGGTGGTATGCTCAGCCTTTAATGTTAAACTGGAAATTAAGTGATTTCTGATTTCCTTTCTTCTCCCTTCCTGGCTTTTTTTGGCTTCATCTGCATTAATCTGGTTATGTTGTTTTAGCTCCTGGTCAATCTCACTGAAATAAATAATTTTATTAATGGTTCACCTTGCGTTAGTCACAAAAAGTGATGGAAGCTGTTATGTCATTGATCATGATTTCTGGTTCCAGCTTGATACTTGCAGATTTGAAATCATTCTATGTTCTTCTTTTACTAGTTTTGAGTCATAGATGGCTTTTCGAATCAAATATGCGGAATCATGACCCCCTCTCCCCAAAAAGAAGGAAAAGCAACTACATCAAAAGTGTATAGTTTTGAATTTGGTAAGCATTTGGTCTGATGTTTGATAATTGAATTCGCCCATTTAAAATGGACAAAATAAATATTTTTTAAGAGAAGTGTAGTTAAAGGGAATTTTATTGGCATCAAGGAGGGAGAGAGATACAATTATAGAAAGCTTTAGCTACAATGATTTTGATGGATGGGAGGATGAGGAAAATAGATGGAGATTGGGGTTAACTGTGCTTGAAGAGGAAACATTGAACCGCAGTAGTGGGTTCACCACTGATTCGCTTGCAGTCTCCACCTCGCTCTTTGTTTGGGCATGTGCATATGCACATTGAAATGTTGCTGTCCATCATGTAAAGAACTGGATAGGATTGTTTTTTGTGTCCTCCCTGGAGATTTTAGGTGAAGCAAGTTTTAATGGAGTCATCCTATCTGCCATCTGATTTAAATTTGACACAGGCAGGATAGCTTGGAAAAAGGGATGACCTTGGCACTTTTTGTGGCTAGGCTTCCAGCCATGATGTTTCTTAAAATTGTTTGGCAGGGTCGTTACACTTTCCATTGTAAGTTGTTGCATTTGATGGGCTGCTTTCTGTTTCTGACTTAATGGCTATCTCATACTGGGCTTTTGTCCTAAAAGATGGTAAATGTATCTGGTCAAACTCTACAATTGATGCTTGTTCCTGCCAGCTATTATTATATAGAAGTTTTTCTCATGTATGTACCATGCAAATACATGATAACTTACTACAGATGTGCATAAGTAGTTGCTTACGTTTCGTATGGTGCGACCTTGGTATTCCTTTTTTGTAGTATATATGCAGTTTACCATATTCATTGTATGATCACAGATGCTTTGAAAACCATATTGAAAGATGAAGGATGGATGGCATTATACAAAGGGCTTGTACCTGGTCTTTTTCTGGTTAGATTTGGTATCGTTATTTCTGTTCTGTGCGATATGTTACGTTCTTTTGTATGTCAGCATTGATGTTCATTTTATTGGTTGGTTTAACATCATAATGTTCTTCTTTTCCTGGAACCTAATGGCATTTCATTGGTGTATATCATGACTCATAAAGATGCGTTCAATGATATATTCTTTATTTTCAAGTCATACCCAAACTTTTTTGAGGCCCAATTATATTTATTTTAGCTTCCAATTATATATATATACACACAAGTCAATGCTTGCTCCCAACTAAATTCATGCAGCTTTTTGCTTGTGCTATTTCTCCTGCAGGTCACTCATGGTGCCATTCAGTTTACAGCATATGAGGAGCTCCGTAAAGTTTTAGTTGGCCTTAGGAATAAACAAAGCACCTCGATTGCTACTAGTTCTGATTTATTGGTAAGTTCCTGTGGTGATTGATTTCAAGCTTCAGGCCCAGTCGTAACCCATTAGCATATGCATGTGCTTATTCAAAATATTATTCATGCTTATTGTAAGATATCATCTTGTTTGTGACATTCATTTTCAGGTTCTATTTGTTTAACTATAATTCATACGTATATGCATCTGCTTATTCTCTCTCTCTCTCTCTCTATCTATATATATATATATATATATATATATATGTATATTCATGATTAGTGTAAGGTCTCCTTGAATGCACAGTTGTTTTCAAGTCTGTTTATACTTTCAATGTAAAGGATTCAGACAAATATATTTGGGAAGAACCCTCAACATAATAGGACATGTGCACCATTGGGCTTAAATAATAAACATGATAAAAAAAACTAGTTTAAGTTCGATCCCAACTTGCCAAGCTAAAGAAGAAACGAACTCCGCTGGTGTAAAAACTGAAAACAGATTATAGCAGACAAAAGTCAGGAAACAGAAAAGCATGGAAGTTAGCAGCATGTTTCTCTAGAACATACTGGAAACTGACAGAAAATGATGGAACCTTTTTGATGCAACACATTAACCTCTAAAGTACTTCCTGGGCTTTCCACATGTCAGCTGAGGCAACAAGGTCTAGTAAGGACCAAACAGGTTGAGATCATGCATCAAAGTTGGACATCAATTGGGAAGATGTCGCACAGGAAATATGTGGCGAATCAAGGAATACCCATGGCACTTTAGGATGCAACTTTAGGATGTGAAAGAAGACAGAATTGGCAGGTATTAGACTAAATGAGGCTCATCGAGGTCCATTTTAACCAATTAACAACCAAATGGTTTATTTTTCTAGAATGGCCATCCTGTTTTCCTACTCGCCTAATCAAACAGAAGTGCACTGGTGATACAACATTTATTGGTTTACTCATTATAGAAGCATGATTCTGCACATGATGTGTTGATGGAGTACACAAAAGCCTGCTTGCTTTCAGATAGTTCTTTGCATGAAAGTTAAACGCTTTACACTCGACTGATGTCTTTGAAAGCTAGAGCAATGGAAGGCTGCATATGAGTAGAAACGAGGATTCTGGCAGAGGGTTGAAGTGACTCCAATTGAAGGGAAGTTATTGCAACATCACTTCAGATGGTGGAACACGTCTTATCTTTTAGCAGATTCCATCTAAGAATGTTCTGAAGATGCTTTTCATGAAGTGTTTTTCTCTGCAATTCTTTTTTTGGCTGTAGAATTTCTCTCTTTAGCAGTTTGGTTTTGCCTTTAGACAGTATGGGTGTCACACGGATTAAGTTTTCTCGGTCCAAATTTATACAAGAGATGCAGCTTGGGGGACTTGTTGCCTCATGCAGGATGACTGTAGAATTTACTCTTTTTGATAGTTTGGCTTTCCCTTTGGCCAGTATGGATGTCAACTTCTTACGATTTCTCGGTCAAAATTTATGTTAGAGATGCAGTTTGGTGGACTTGTTGCCTCATGTAAGGATTAGTCCATATAGACTGCTGACGGGTTTCTATCAAAGATGGATGCTTTTTTATATTAGAATCAATGATTCTATATACTGATGCCTATTATGTTCAGTTGGCCATGATATATACTTTCTTCTCTTCATTGATAATTTCATTTTCCTTGTTCTCCTTGCAGACAACAATTGATTATGCAACTTTAGGAGCTTCCTCTAAATTGGCTGCCATCCTTACGACATATCCATTCCAGGTAGGAACTATCATCCTATCCATCCATACAGTATGCAATTTTAGACCACTTTGTGTTTAGAATGATAGTATTTCTAACTTGTGACCGTTTCTCATATGTTACATGGTAATATTTTCAGGTCATCCGTGCTCGCTTGCAGGTATAGCACATTTTTTTCCAACTGCTATCATGTGCAAATTTCATCCTGGGATACTATAGATCTTCATTTTGAAGTACAGCATGGTTTCTCCACTCATTGTTACTTGTAATCTGAACTTTTATCCTCTCCAACTGTAGCAACGACCCAATATACATGGGGCTCCAAGATATATTGATAGCTGGCATGTCATGAAGGAAACTGGTCGGTGAGTATCTCTTGTTGCAAAATCTTAATGCTTGTAATTAGGGGAAATCTTCCAGGTATGGCAGTACCGCCATCAACACTATATAGCATTGTGCAAAGAGGTAAACCAATTTTCCTTATATTTGATTGAATAGAGAACTAATGTCCATGGATACATACCCAATTAGTACAATATCTTCGGAAACTAAATGAACTCTAACTAGAAAGGGAAACACTAAGTATCCATCTAAAGCCTTCGTGAATATCTCACCTAGTTGTTCTCCGGCTTTCACATATTATGTAGAAATCAAGTCTTGCTGAATTTCCTTACAACAAAATGACAATTAGTTTCAGTGTGCTTAGTCTGCTCATGAAACACGGGATTAAATGCAATATGAAGAGCAACTTGGTTGTCACACCACAATTTTGCTGGTACCGAAGTCTCAAGTTCTATTTTAGCCAAGAGTTGATATATCCACATTATCTCACATATATCCCAATATTCTAACTCTGGATCATGAAACGACATTTTGCTTCTTAATCCATGAGAGTTGAGATCGTTAGATAGGCTTGCAGTATCTTTTGACAGGAATAGGTGTTTCTAGCGTTCAATATGTTTTCTTGTTAGATAGACTTTTTGTTTTCTTTCATAGTTGTGTCCTCAAAAATCCTTTTTGTAGCATATCTGACTTATAGTTGTATTTACTCGACCTTTTTCGCAAGCTGGAGGTCTTTTCAGAAACAACTCGTCTCTTGAGACGGAGGTAAAGTCTCCATGCATACTACTGTCTCAGACGCTACCTCCGACTGGGATATAATGCGTTTATTTGATTTGGTTAGGCGATAGTTTTAATCGTATTGTGGATGGCTGGTTCATACAATCTCCATTTGTACAAGCATATCATATTAGTAAAAAAAATATTCAGAGGGTTTAAGAAAAATCAAATGAAGGCTGTTTGGGTATGTAGTGTTAAGCTATGCCCCATTTATATAGTACTAGGAGAATGAAAATGTATTGATAGGTATACTCATTTGGGTTGTTGCAGGTTAGAAGGTCTAAAAGGTTTCTACAGAGGAATTACAGCCAACCTTCTAAAAAACCTTCCTGCGGCGTCAATAACCTTCATAGTGTACGAAAACGTTCTGAGTCTGCTAAAACTGACAAGGAGGAACAACTGACGTGTCTATCGAGTCGGTAGTGTATAGTTATCACCGAGGTTCAACCATCTGTTGATGACTTCAATTTCCAGCAGATGAGATGGAAGCAGAAGACTAAGGTTGGTGTGTTATTACAATGCATGTTTTTGTACTCCTTTTTATACGACCTGAATTTAGCCATCCATGTGTACCATGGGAACGTTTTAGTAATTACACATTCGATATAAATGCATAAACACTTTCTCGATGAGGGGAAGTAACCATTTAGTTTCCGAACAGCACTCATATAATCAGGTATCCTTTGAAAAGCAGTTTTGGGTAAAACAAACAAGAGATAGACGTGATCTTCATTTACAGTCAAACCAAAATAGGCATTGCCACTTTACAGCTACATCGGATATCATTCATTCATGTTTGCAGCAAGGCAAAATATGCAAATTATGGACAACAGATGATATGGGAATGGAATGACTGGTCTTCTTTTCACTAAACTTTATCATCATGAAACCACCATCTAGTTTCCTTGGGAGATCTGCCATTTCTACAGTTCTTAACATACCGATCATTATCTTCTGGTCGTTCCTGCAAATTAGTTGCCAACCATCAGCACATGATTGCAAAAACACAGATTCCACCAAGCCTTTCAAGGTTTTAGAAAGATAGAAAAGAATAACTGAACCTTCACTGTTGAACTTGATAGCATGGAGAGAATGCTTATACAGATGGAGCTCACAGTCATAGCTGGTGACCATGAATCGTATAAAATATCTGCAAAAGAATTAAGCAAATTAAGCCTTCTGATTAAGATGTAATCCATAACGTTGCATCACCATCATACAAGTTACTATTTACTTTACAGTAAGTGATGAAGGAGCACTGTCCACACGATTCTTTCTATTTTGCATCTATTAGGGTAATGTTGTATGCACCCCTTTTATGGCAAAATCAGGTCAAATCACGCATTTGATATTGACGTGTTTGATGAGGAAATTAGTAGGTATGGGTGCAGTTAGTAATATACAGGGGTGTATTTAGCCCACCCCAAACTAAAACATCCCACTATCTGGCATAGAACTCCGGTAACTTCCAGCCACCATGCTACCCCTCCCCATGTCTCACCCTCTAACTTCTCCAAACTCCCCTCCTCCCATCCATTCTACAAGTCTCTATCCATAATCTGCTACTATAATCCTGCTAGTAATTCACAATTAATTAGCAATTCAGATGTTTCTGTACAGCCAACATGGTTGTAATTACAACTACTCATAGAAATTAATAGAAGAGCACTTCAGTTGGCAGAAAATATCACAAAAGGCTCAATTAATTGCTATTTTCTGCCAAGTAGAGTGTTGTTTTGAACATTCACATGCAAGTTGGTTCTTCATAAACAAAAAGCCAAGTATAATGGTTCAAAATGCTAATCACTCTATAATTTACTTGTTTACCCAAAAGCAGAGGTGCACCTTTAAAAAGAAAAAAGAAAAACACAAACTAAAAGCCCCAAATTCACAGAAGTGAACACAAATAGATCATAGGTCCACACCTATAAGAATCCACAGGAACAGCACGAATACTTACCTAAACAAATATGGCCATTGCTATAAATGTGTGGGTGTAGAGGAGCTGGATGCATAAATATCACCTGTATTGTTCCATCAAACAAAGTGTAAGTAAAACAAGAAACATAACCAACACTATCAATTCAGACCATCCACCTGACCTGAGGTGCCTCCATAGGATAATGCTCAGGAAAATCAACTTGGAGCTGGTATTTTTCATTAGCATAAATAGTCCCCTGAGCTCCATGCACTTCAATTACCCACCTTTAAGAAAATGCAAAAACAATAATCACATATCTCAATTTATCAAGTACTAAAATTGCAATATTTCCGGTTTTATGGGCACAATCCAATAAAAAAAACCCTTTTTAATGAAAATTGCAACATATGTACCCAAGAAAATTGCCACATACTTCCTCGTAAATTTTGATATTCACTTTAATGGGTTATGTTGATTGTTCATTGTGTTGTTACAACAAAGCTGGACTTTTTATTGTTTTGATCCAATAAAATTCCTACTTCTAATCGCTTGGTTAGGCTTCATGGGATGTAGTGGAAAATCCCATCTACCCTAGTTCGAATTTAGACGTTGTCAAAGCCCTCGTGGTCATGGAGGTTCACATGTGATGGCTCTAGGCCCATTTGTGATCGCCTGAGGATTAGTCGGTTTTAGACGATTTACTTCCTCTCGAATAACATGGATTATTTGTATTATTGATGGTAGGCAAATAGGTAATTCCACATTAAAAGCTTCATACAATTTCGATAGACATCAAAAAAATGGAAATTCCATGAACAATTTATAAGAGGGACCCAATTCGAGAGGAGTTGGATCTAAAAAGATACAATTAATTAATCCACCAGCCTTCTCTAACACGGTCGTCGAACCCTAACGGAACTTTCAGCTTTTTCCATTTCATGAGAATATTTCGAGGAAGGAATATCGGAAATCAAACAGTTTGGGAGTCAAAATAAGCCCTTAAAACAAAAATATATAAAAACGATTAATAACCTTTGAAGATTGTCGGTGACTTTGTGTATAAATCCAGAAGGAGGGTTGACCTGCCACTCGACCAACTCCTTCTGAAGTCTATTGCTAGCTATCTTGCTTAAAACCTAATCAATCAACATCAAAATTTTAGTCAAAATTGGTAACCGATCACAATTATACTTTAATTTTCTGAAGACAAAGTCAGTGAAACGCGTAACTTAGATACGTATCTATGTGTGTATACAATAAAGTAACTAAAGGCGTGTATACACACGCATATACGTATATAGAAAAGAGAAATACGTGGATATGGAGATTTAGATAGAGAGCACCTTGCGAGAAGACGCGGAGGAGCCTGTCATGACGGTGGAGAATGGCGGAGACAGAGCCGGAGAAGGTAGAGAAGGCAGTTTGTGTGTGTGAGAGAGAGGGAGAGATGCTTTGCAGGTGCGATGGTGTCTGCTCATAATCTCATATTTGTCATTTTATGTACTGAGTAAATTACATCATTAGTCCCTCGAGTATCTGGTACATATCAAGTTTGGTCTCTACCTTATTTATTTTACATTATCGGTCCTTCTGTTAAAACAAACTTAGCATTTTGATTCTATAATTATAACTACGTGAGGTTGTTTGTTTCTTAAGAGGCGCTGAAGTAAACCACTTAGATTTAGCTGGTGTTTGGTTTGCATAAAATAAAATATGTCAAAGGAATTTGACTTTAAAAGAATTGAAATGAAATGTTATTAGGTTTGACCACATATTTGGTTAACAGATATTGGAATGAAATATGTTAAAAAAATTGAAATTTGTCTGTTTGATTCATATAATATAGCTTTGGAATTGGAATGAAATGCTGATAAATGACCAAAATCCTCTATCTTTTTTTGAAAGTTTTAAATTTTTTTAAACTAAAAATACTTTAATAGTAAAATAATATAAAATACACAAATCAAATGACGTTACTAAATCAATATTGGAATTGTTTCAAATTTGACAATGAATATTGAATACATGGTCTATCCAGTATACATTTAAACAACAAACTGTAATGAAAAATCAAATAATAGTGCTCATAGCTTCATCCAAGAATAATCTTATAACCCTGCGCTTATGTGTTGTGAGACTAAGCCGGACCATTTCTTATTTATAGGTTATAACAAAAGAGTATTAATGCAACATCTACAATGGAGCAAAAATTAGCAACATAATAAACAATAAAAATAGATGAAATCAAGTGGATATGGTACAAGTTCTTATGCACATATTACAAGTTCTTATGAACATAGTACAAGTTTTAATGGAGCAGAAACTAGCAACAAACTCACAAAATTTCCAAATTGGTTGTATCTGTTTGAAGCAAGAACATGTCAAGTTTTGAGTGTCGTTATAAAAAAATCGAGTAGAAAAATCTGTCATTAGTGACTTTCATGCGAGTGACCTAGATGGATAAATTCAACGTACTTAGGCCACACGCATTCCTGGTACATGAATCGAGCATAAAAATCGAGAAGACAAAAACGATATTGTTGAGCAGAAATTGAGCATATAATAGAGAGAAATCGAGAAATCGAACCCGAGAAGAGGGAAATCGAACTTGGAGAAGCTATGGAGAAAAGAGAAATCAAACCTGAGAAGCGATGGAGAGAGATCAGAAATTGATGCGATGGAGAAGGAGGTGTGCGGCTGTTTCTATCATGACAGGATTAAGGGTATATTTGGGATTACGAAATTAGAACACTCCATTCCATCAAAATAACATCTTATTATTGCCATAGGTAAAGGGACGACAGTTCTTGCAATAAAGGGAGATGGAGGTCGGTGATTTTACCAAACATCATAAAGATCCGAATAAAGGTGACCAAATCCAACAACCAAATGAGGGAACACATAGGATTGTATCTGTTAGTTCGATAAAAAATCGTAAACATTAATGTAATCATACATAACAATGTGAAAGTAGCTTAGAATGCACAAACAACAATACACACTATCGGAGCCATTTTTGTGCATCTTAAGCTCTCCTTAAATTAATTTTCTGTCTCCGTCCATGAATATACAGATGCACATATGGTTCCATTATCTATGTAACACTATGGAGATGGGCCAATTGTATTTCACAAATAAAACAAGGGTTGCAAACGAGAGAACCAAAGCTTGACTAACTTCAATTAAAAAATTGTTTGTTTACCTGTTAATAGTTTCATTAAGAGGCAACCTATGAATCGTTAAGAGGTGAATCTTGTTTAGTAAAAAAAAAATATGTCTCTTAATGGTTCTAATACCTTCTGAATGATTTTGTATCATGGGTCCCCCTTAATCATTTAGTGCCCTAATTTCATTGTAAACAATCACCAAAAAAATTATATTTTATTTTGCACTATATCATGAGTGGCTCTCAATCATTTTCATTATTTAATTATTCTGCACCAAACCATTCAACAACCGTCAAAAAAACCCTTTTAAGTCTAAACTTTTTTTGGTAAATTCTCAAAAATGGGTTTTCCTTTAGAAAACTCTTAAGTTTTAAAATTAAACTCAAGAGTGGGATATTATGTGAAATTTGATGTAAATAACACCAAACTAAAAATTAAATAATTTATTTACAGTTGGATTGGATGACATACATAAAACCTTTTGGCACTCTAACCATCTTTTTGTTATAATATTTCTTTTATTACTTGGATTATTTCGGTTTGTAATTTTTCTTATAGATATTATATTGCAAATATGCACAAAGACTGTACTACTTTCAAAAAATCAATGTTTATGTCCCACGTTATTTTAAAAACCGTAATAAAACCATAAGGATGGTGTCCGATTGATTTGAGTTTGAGCTCCAGAGGTTAAAAGTGTCTGAAGGTCATAGGTTCAAATCCAAGTAAGAATAAAAAATTTCTTATAGCCATGAAGGTTCAAATACGATGAACAGGTGGTCGTTCTGTAATTAGTCGGTTCACATAATGAGTTGGATATTCAGGTTAATCAAATAAAAAAACTGTAATAAAAGATGGTTAAAAACATTTAATAAACCATCCAAATACAAAAACATAAAAATATACTACATTTTTAACTTCAGTTTGATACTATCATTTGCACCAAAATATCAAAAGATAAAAAAAAATATATTTATATTTAAATTTAAATTTATTTTTATAATAAAAAAGAAAAACATAAATATAAAATCTAATAATCAAAGTTATAAATAAAGATAACTTAAAAAAATAAAACCCTCCCCTTTCCCCGTGCACACTCTTTACTCACCCTTTGTCCCACATAAAATATGGCTTTGCAAGATTAGCTGAAAATGGAACGGGTCTGGTGGTATCTTATCCAACCCATGACCCGACCCAAAAGGTTGACCAGTCAATAACTGATCCCAACATTTAAAGATGGCAATAGGGTCAGGGTATCATTGGGGGATCGCGATCCTTGTCGGGGAATAAGATTTCATTCCCATTTCCTATTGACGAATCTTAGATGTTTCTCTGTCTATATAATTTAATTTTTTATGAAATGTTTTTATATATTATGTATATAAATGTCAACTTTACGTTTAAACAATATATAATGCTAAAATATTAGTTACCCAAATTTTAATTGTTGCATTTGTACAAAGGTAACATAAAAACGTAGTTCTAATTCAAACATATCAATTACAATACTTACTGATTGAAGTTCTATATAATCACGTCGTTATATCAACAAAAGTTTCTCATAAACAACCAAATCAAGAATGTAATATTTGATTTTCAATATTACGCTCAGATCATGGATGTTCGACAGATTTTAACTATTGTACATTTGGCATAATAAGTTATACCTCTTAAAAAATTCAACATAACTCGTGCTTTCTAAAATAGTATAGTATAGACATAGATATATACTCATTGGTTTCTCACTATACTATTATACCTAGTGTCTTTTTGTGTGTGTGTGTGTGTACATAGAAGTGTATAATTTATACTCATTGGTTTCTCACTATACTATTATACCTAGTGTCTTTTTGTGTGTGTGTGTGTGTACATAGAAGTGTATAATTTATACTCATTGGTTTCTCACTATACTGTTATTCCTAGTGTCTGTGTGTATATACATAGAAATGTATACTTAAGACACGGGGTCGGGGATGAATGGTATCTCCATCCCAATTCCCATTCCCGGTAAAACCAGGGTTGGGCATTAGTTCCCTATCAGGTGCGGTTTTTCTTTGCCATCCCTGCCAACATTATATTATTATAATTTAATGTTACCTGATACAACAATTGTCACTACTACCCTTCTTTCTTGGTTTTTGTAAACATGGCTGCTTAGTTTTGTAATCAAAATATGAACTACTCCTACTTTACACTACAAGATGGAAGAAAGATTCATTGTTATTGTTATTATACAGAGACACGGTGATCCACCAGACCATGCATGAACCACATTATGGTCGCAACCAAATCACCAAGCCTGATTAGGCACAACTGGGAACCTCTAACCATCATTACAATGCAACCGACACCTTCATCGCCAATCTGCAATCATGTTTCATACTCATTCATACCACATAAATTGCATTGTTTGACTTGATACATAGTTCGGTACAATTACTAGAATATTTCTCATAGCATCTTCAATGGGAGGTTTTAATAAGCAAAAAGTGGAGGTTCTTATAAAAACTACCATTGGAGAGAGTTCTTAAAAAACACTTACATCCAAGGTTCTTGATTTTAATAGTTTTTTTATATATATATTTTTTAACATTTTTAATAGATTTTATGTATAATTATTGATGTTGAAAAAATAAATTGGACCTGCAAAAGGAGTTCTTATAACAGCTACCATTGTGGAGTTCTATTTAGTGGGTTAAAAATGATTTGACAATACAAGACAAAACAAAGGAACTTTGTGGATTCAAATCAATACCACAGATTCTTTCTGATGTTGATAATGCTCAAATAGGAAAATGGTAACCTGAAAACTTCTCAAAACAAAAAGTACTGCAATTTCATGATAGAAAATCATCAAGTATCTCATAGGATCGTGGGCGTATGATAGTATGCACATGGGGTACTCTATCTCAACTCTTTAAGAACTAAATAAATGTTACAGATCAAGTTTCTAACCTCGATTAAGATAGAAGCGATGGTGGGATAACTTTGTAAGGATTTAGTATACCACTGGGATCCAGCAACTTCTTGATAGAAGCCATAAGTTGTACCTGTACAAATAAAACTTTGTTTCTGAAGTTGCACAGAGCAAGAGTATCATCCATAAAAAGGAGGTCTAGAAATCGATATTAAGAATCTTTATTGCAACCCCAAAGAAAAAGAACAACAAGAAGTTTCAATAAAGATTCCTAATGTGACGCTAATCACTGTGATGTTTACGATTTCTGTTTCTTAATACAGAACATTCATGAAAGCAAGCGAAAGCACTGCATATCCCATATAACAGAGTAGACTTACGGTTCCAGATGACTTGCTGTAGTAAATCTTTTCAGCTTTCATGAGACCAAGCCCATGTTCAGCACTGATACTCCCATGGTGCCGAGATGTCCATTCATACACAAAAGGCTCAATTTGTGCCAAAATCTGCGGGTTATTTTGTAAGGTTAGAAGCAAATAGGGTGTCCATATATATATATTTGTGAAGCAAGAATACGAATCTTACCGTGTCATCATACTGTGGAGTTGAGACATTTAAGTGGAGGTTGCCATCTCCAAGGTGACCATATCCCACTACATTTGCCGCAGCACCTAGTTGTTTCAAACTAAAGTGAGAAAATAATACCAGGTTGAGATAACTTATTGGCATAATCATTGTGGCTAGTATTGCAGTATGACAAATTACGCCTACATCAGTTAGCAACCGAAGTTGTGGAAACTACAGTTTTCCATCAGCATTAAACAATAAATTAGAATTTGGTATATTGTGATATCCATGCTTTATGTTATGCAGGTCTTTACATTGAATATCAGAAGCTGTTTCCTTTTAATGATCCCTTTAAGGAGGACGCTGAAACAATTGAACATGGGATGGATGCATGATAATAAGCTTGACTATAAGATGGTTACCAAGACGTATTCGTATTTCCTCAACAAGATCATACATCTTTTCAACCGGCAACGATAGATCATATTTATATACAGCTCCAGCTTTCATCAATGCTTCTGGAACACCCTGAAAGAAGGCATAAAAAATTAGCATATCAAAGTGATAATGCAAATCGTATAACAAAAACAGGCAAGTTGCTGAATTTTGATTTCAAAAGGTCATGAAAAGATTAACAATTTACAGGGGTGTCCTACAGGTGAACTCTGGATCACATACAAAGTGTACAATTTTCTAATCCCATGTATGTAACCTTAATTACCAGCAACTGTTTTACAAGTTTTTGTCAGATAGAGAGATGGTATTCTTAACAGAATTCGCCAGGGGACTCGCATCTCTAAGAGTCGTGTACCAAGCATAGCAAATCAACTAAAAGAGGTATATTTTGGTTTTGGTAGCGAAAAGTTTCATGCTTAACATATTTATAGTGGGATTGCAAACCTCACGAATATGCCAAAATGATGATGCTTGATTCATATCCTGTGCAAGGGCACCATCAGATACCAAACCATTTTCCATAGCATGGAGAAGAAAGGCCTCAAGCTTCTCCCTAAAGAAAATCAGAAACAGGTTACAAGTAGAACAGATCAATAAAGAGAAGTGCTACCAAGCGGCCTTTGACCCAATGGTAACTATGGATAAAACCAGTAGGTTGTGAGTTCAAGTCTCTTTAGAGTCTTAGAGACACCAATGCATAATTTTGTTAATCGTTCTAAAAGAAGTAAAGAGAAGTGCTAACACCAATGGTGCAGGTATAGATGAGATAATGGTTGATCAAAGAACAAAGACATCTGATGGCACACTTCTGTTCATGCAAACCAGCCTTGTACGTAACGATATATTGGCTTTGCTAATTTATTTTGACATAATCTTACCAAAACAAAACTCCTGAAAGTATATAACTGGTTTAAATGGTATTTACTAAGAGGGAGACCATAAGCATTAATTTGAACCAATGGTGGACTGGAGCCTGTTAGGCACATCTTCTAAAGTTGGAACAAAAGAGCACTGTGCTGCTTTATACAAGATTAATACAAATTTTAATGAGAGCCTACTTGGCTCTCAAAGTTATCCAATTTCCAAAAATGATAGAAAGCAATAGCACAGAACTTCATTCGGTTTAGGATCTTGAATAAAACAATGTAGAAGTTTGCATTCAGGAAAGTAACTAAGGCTGACTCAAACTGGAACCGACATACGATTTTTCGGTGCATTATGGCAGAGATGGATGGAAACAGGTAAAATAGCAGGAAGTTTACTTGTCACTAGATTCGTTGCTGCCTGTTGTCTCGATGAGAACATAGAAGTTGTAAATTGCGGAAGGTAATGGATTTCGGACACCGTCTAGATGTTGAAGAACCTATACAACACAACAAAATCAGATTGTTAAATGTGACGGAAAGAGACTTCTCTTTCATGTATGCCATGTCATTATAACCATATTAAGCGTCCAAATATGGTCACAACAATTACGTCACATAAAAATGTATTACATCATTCATAGGCAAAGAATAACAATATCACAGATACCATTATATTTCTTCAGTTGAATCTAAAAGTCAATCAAATAAACAAGAAATAGGAATATAGCATTCCAAGGCCTTGTACCAACCTAAGTAGGCATTGCAAACATGAATTCATCATTCATGGGTTGTGTTAAATGTGAACCACACCACATAAGCTATTCGGTTAAGCTTTGATCCAGTTGTTGAGTCATCGACCAGATGCAGGGACAAATAAATCAATGTAGTCCAAACTTTTAGCTTATTTTCTGATTTCTGAAAATGGACAATGTATTTATGCATTATCATGCTGAGAAGGAACAGGCTTGCTGATTTATAAAGAGTTATGCAGCGAAGAAATGCATATAGCAAGATATATGTAGAATGGTAATCGGATATGGATTAATAGAGAGTTATAGATAGACCCTAATAAGGAAACGTGTGTAGATAAGTGCTTATCCCATGTTAGGAGTTGTAGTTGTAGTCTATCTCCTAACCTCTACTTGTATATATAACTCCTTATGCTGTAATCAACATAGTATAGAAAATTCCTCCTACTTCTCTAAAGCTTTTATAGTATCAGAGCCAAGACATGTTTGCTCGGATCTCGGCACTCTGGGACATCTTTGCTCGGGTCCTATTCATACCTGTAGTGCATCGAGTCCATTTTCTCTAGTTCATAGTGATGTATGGGGTCCTTAAAAAATCCCGTCAATTTCTAATAAAAGATGGTTTATTTCATTCATTGATGATTATACTCGAGTTTGTTGGATTTATCTTTTACATAACAAGTTGAAGTTATTAGTATCTTTAAACAGTTCCGTTCGATGATCTTTACACAATATGATCTTTAAATAGTATTATACACCAAAGCCCATACGTTAATACCCCTCAACAAATGGCGTTTTCGGAAGGAAAAAAAACCATCACTTGCTAGAGGTAGCACGATCCTTACTCTTTCAAAGTCATACACCCAAATCTTTTTTAGGTGATGCAATTCTAACAGTCTGCTACCTCATTAATCGGTTGCCTTCATGGATATTAAAATTCCAAACACCTCTAGCCGTCCTACAAAAATCTTTTTGGAAGGCTTATGCCTCTTCCAATCTTGATCTAAGAATATTTGGTTGCTCGATCTTTGTCCATGTTCATAGTCAAAAAAGGTCCAAACTTGCCCCAAGGAGTGTGAAAGGTGTCTTTGTTGGTTATTCCTCCTTCCAAAAGGGATATCGATGCTACTGTCCAAAGGAACAAAAATACTCCTTTTCACACGATGTCACCTTTCTTGAAGATCAATTCTATCACTCTCCTCAATCTAACCAGAGAGCCGAAGTATCACATCCTATAGGACCCGAAAGCTGGGAACAATTCTGCAACTCACCAAAGAACCACCCAGAGACCACCTCATGTAAACCCACAATTCCAGAAACAGCCGCCCCTATCTCTCCATCACCAACTACCCCACAACCTGTCCCACAACCTACAAGCCAAGTCGAGTCCTTTCCAATCACATACAGTCGAAGGAAAGGAGTTACCCCAAAGTCTAAGGTACACCAAAAGTTGCCTTCAAATTTTGATCTTGATGTACCCATTGCATTCATAAAAGGTTCGCGTTCTTGCACCTATTTCTGATTTTTTTGGCTATGCTAATCTAGCCCCACCTATGAAGGCTCTTGTTTCGAATCTATCTTAACAAAAGAACTAACCAATATTCATGAAGCTTTGCAAGACAATAAGTGGCGGGCTGCAGCATTTGAAGAGCTTCGTTCCCTTCACAAAAATGGTACATGGGTGGTGGTTGAACGCCCGCATGGTAAGACCACAGTTGGTTGTAAATGGGTGTTCACGGTTAAGTACAAAAGTGATGGCTCTATTGAAAGATACAAGGCTCGGTTAGTAGCAAAAGGCTACACCCAGACATACATAATCGATTATCAGGAGACATTTGCCCCGGTTGCCAAAATTAATACCATCCGGGTTCTCCTCTCACTTGCTGCCAACTTTGATTGGCCTCTTCATCAACTAGACGTAAAAAATGTGATTCTAAATGGCAACCTACACGACGAGGAGGTCTACATGGATTTGCCCCCCCGTTTTCATGCTCCAAATGGCAGCCATAAATTTTGTCGTCAAGAAGGTCATTTATGGTTTCAAACAGTCCCTAAAAGCATGGTTTGATCGGTTCACTCATACAGTTAAACAATTTGGGCATGCTCAAGCCCATGCTAATCATACTCTTTTCTACCTTAAAAGAACATGGTAAGATCGCTATCCTAATCGTATATGTCGTAATACTTACGGGAGATCATGTAGTTGCCATCGCAAACATCAAAGTTCATCTGACTCGCTCCTTCGAAATGAAAGACCTTGGTCCATTACGGTACTTCTTGGGAATGGAGATTGCAAGAATGAAATCTACGATTAGCTTGTCTCAAAGGAAATATACCTTGGACTTGCTCAAAGACACCGGAATGCTTGGTTCTCAGCCCGCCTCTACTCCTACGGATTCTCCTCTAAAGCTTGATGCTAGTTCTACAGTTCTAGTCGACAAGGGGAGATTCCAACGTCTTGTTGGTCGACTGATATACCTCGCACATACCAGACCTGATATTACGTTTTCAGTTAACTATGTAAGCTTATTCATGCATTCACCATCCCAAATTCTCAATGCCATCTTGATGCTGCTCACCGAATCTTACAGTATCTTAAAGGAACACCAGGTCACTGTTTACTGTTTAAGAAACAAAAATCAAAGTATAGAAGTGTTCACAGATGCAAGTTAGGCAAGTTGTCAAACTAACTAGCGTTCTACCTTGGGTTACTATTCTTATGTGTTTGGCAACCTTGTCACATGGCGAAACAAGAAGCAGGAGTGATCTCAAGAAGCAGAGTTGAAGCCGAACTACGAGCTACTGCCCTAGGTGTGTGTGATGCACTCTGGCTAAAAAGATTACTGAGTGAACTAAGAATCTGGGTACTACACCCGATGACTATTTGGTGTAATAATAAAGTTGCTATCGCCGTGACACAAAATCTAGTTCATCATGATCAAACAAAACATGTTAAGCTGGATTGACATTTTATCAAGGAGAAAGTTGACAAAGGAATCTTGAAAGTCTCCTACATTTCTACTACTCAACAAGTGGCCGACATCTTCACTAAAGCGCTAAGTTTACCACTATTCAACACGTTAAAAGGCAAGCTTGGACTGTATAACATATACCATCCAGCTTGAGGGGGAGTGTAGAATAGTAATCGGATATGGATTAATAGAGTTATTTTCTATACTCTAATAAGGAAACCATTTGTAGATAAGTGCTTATCCCATTTTAGGAGTTGTAGTTGTAGTCTAATCTCCTAACCTCTACTTGTATATATAGTTCCTTATGTTGTAATCAACATATAGTAGAAAATAATATTCCTCTTACTTCTCTAAAGCTTTTAATACACAACACAAATAAATCGAATTGCAGGATGTCTTATGATCTTTGACAAAACTATGATGTTTAAAATAATGTGTCCAACCTGTATAGCATGAATCTGGCTAGGAACTTACTGATATGAAGAATTTTTACAGCATAAGGCTTTTAAGTACGTGCTTAGGGATGATTAGCAAACCATGGTGGTGGTTTTCTAGTTTTGGATATTCCCCAGGTCTCTTGATCTATGTATGTCATGCGCCACTAAAGACTTCTGTAGAAACAAGGCAATGCTATCCAAGCAGCTGTTCCTCCCCAGATCTGCTCTGAAGCGGAATTGAGCACTCTTAACTATGCTTCAGCTCTAGCACAGGAGATACTTGTTGGATAAACGTGCTGAGAATTGAGAAGGGAATATTATATTTCAAACAACTATTACAGCAGAACATCCACAACTATGGCATCCAAAAATGTAGAGGACTAGATTAGACCCCATGAATTATGGGATACTCTTAACATAATGGAAACACGGAGCTGTATAGACCTAGTTCTAAGGACTTCCTACATCAGCTTTTTCTAAAATGTTTTTCCGATGTTAGCTTCTAACACCTTTTTCTCCTGCATTCCCCCTCAAGCTGGTGCATAGATATTCTCCATTCCCATCTAGGATACAAACTTCTCAAACCAGAGCTACTCAGTCCCTTTGTTAGAATATCTGCAACCTGGATGCTGGTAGACATGCACGAAGTACAAATCATACCATTTTCCTCTGTCAATCTCAATGTGTTTCTTCGGTCATGTTCCACTAGGTTATGATTCTCATTGGACCATCCTACTTAATCCTAAATTCATCAATGTGAATTTTAGCCAAGTAGCTCACACACATCAATAGTCATTGCCCAGAGTTCAGCCTTTCTACATCTTGAAGAAGAACTATACTTTTGAGAAAGGCTAGATAGAATTATACACGAGCTACATCTGCTTAAAAGAACAATATGACAATATTTTCCATTCAAAACACAAGAATAAATCAGATCACGATACACAAGCAGATCCTAAAAAATGCACACCTCATTAAGCAAATTACATAGAACCCTAAGGAAGAAAGCATAGACCTCTCCAATGCCATGGCTGTTGCGAATACTTCACAAGTACCATATAGCTATCGTCACATGCTAATTTGCAAAAATGCCTAAAAAAGAGGGGATAATTATGACACATATGAACAAACTTGCTGAACTTACCAGATTCATTGCTTGAGCATCAAGAAATTCAAATGCAGATAATATTTCACCAAGCCTCCTTTTAGCTTGGAATAGAAGCTTCTGATGGATGGAAGCAGAACATGTGATTAATTACAAAAAAAAAATTACATGTTGGAAGAAAAAATCAACTGATATACTCTTGGCAAGCAAGAAAATACATCAACATTTAATCTGTAAATTGAATCGTATCATGAAAATAAAATATATTTTACCTGGCAACTGATATAATCTTGGCAAGCAAGGAAAGCTATGTTTACTGCAGACAACTTTGCAGGCGTGAGTATGGAAACCTTTGTTATGATACCCAAAGACCCTTCACTTCCTGCAAATAGATACATGAGCAATGGACCAGTTAAATATGGATATACTTCTGCACTAAAATGATGATTATAAGGGAACTGTTGTCACACCTATAAACAAATGCTTCAGGTCATAGCCAGTATTATCTTTTCGCAAAGTCCCAAGCATATCGATCACATTGCCATTAGCCAAAACAACTTCAAGACCTGAAACAGTAAATGTGTTTCTGCATCAGCTATCCTAAGCTAAGGAAGAGCTTAGAAGAAACAATCCGACAAGACATCATTGATTATTAGTACTTGTACATGGCGTACATGAACATGGCATGCTAAAGATGCAATAATTGCAGCACATACAGAAAAGGAAATCATTCAAGAACCAAATTATGAAGTGATAACTTAGTATGCATCTTGCAATCATATGTACTTTGAACTTCTACATGTTAATTGTTAGGCTTTGATCCCCACTAATACCCTCAAAACACAAGCAGTACCGCAAGGATATGAGAGAATATAGGTTTAGCCTTGATGATTCTATGATAAATAATGACTCTAAAAGAAGACACTTTTGAACAAATCAGTAGTCAGGGGCGGATATGTGTAGAAGACAGCATATGCACATGCATACTAAGAATTTTTTTTCCATAATGAGACAAATGAAAAATAAAAATATGTTATTGTTAGTGTAACCTCTGAAAAAACCTTGTAATGATAGTGCACAGTGTTGATATGAAATCCTGGATCAGCCACTATCAACATATTTTCAGTCACATACTTTCTTTCAGTGGACCTCTGGAAAATTTATGCATGTAGGTGTGTCCAAGGAAGGTAACATTAAAGTGAACATTCTACTCTTCCATTTCTGAAGAGATATATACAGTAATACAGACCAGTATGTGATTCTATGATGAGGATATACAATGAGAGAAGTAATCTAGAAGTACGGATACCTAACTTGAAAAGGCATCAACAGCCAGCATTATTCGCAAGAAGTCTGCCAAATGGTCACACACATACTTCAATAAACCAAGTACAAACTACACCTCAGTTTATATCAATATTTTGGGAATAAATAATATGAAAAATAGGTATATATCTCAACCTTGAGACTTCCTCGGAAATATAGAGGTGATAGGAATATATGTCCCTCACAAAGGGATTCCTATTGATATTATGAATGTTCAAGAGGACCTTCACATATTCTTACCTGCATCAAAAGGTGCATATACTAGGTGGAACTACTAACCAGTAACTACAGTAAGCACTTATAGCATAAATATGTCGATATAAATGTTTAATTCCGTATGTTTAGATACTTGAATGTAAGTAACTCAGAAAATGCTTACCAAGAACAGTTCCATGAAGAGATCCATAACGCACCAGGCGCAAACCACCAGCATTAGTAGAAACATTTCCACCAATCTGGCAGCTTCCTTTTGCACCCAAGTCTAATGGCATAATAAAGCTGAAAGAAAGAAGAAAACATAATATGTCATACAAATGATTCAAAAGGATAAGAAGAGGTCAAATTTGCATATTGCAAAACAATATCCTCTATCACTTGTAGTTTTCAGCACTGATCACCCTAGAGAGATAACTTAATTTTAAAAATCTTACCCTTGCTTGTCTAGGAAAGAAATCAGATTTTCCAGTATACATCCTGCATCACATACCAGTACACCGCTGACCTACAAAATTGCAGAAATTGATCACTTCGTTAATGAACAGTTGGTTAATATTTCTAATTAAGGAGTGGTTATAAATATCCTTTGCAGAAAGAAGGATTGTAACTAATCCTTTTAAGTTCTCAAACAATAATTGATAAAGAAATTACCTACGGAAATCAGCAACCAAATTTTCTTACTTTCCTTACAAATGACTAAAAAGGGCTTTAGGTAATTAAAATATGAGAAGACTGACCTCCCTACCTTGTCAAAGGAAATAATTCTATTCATGCGCCGAGTATTAATAATGACCTGCAAGTCATGGAGTGACCACATTAAGTCAAAAATTAGAAAAGAAAAAAATAAAATAAATTTAAAAATAAAGCAAAAATTGGGCAATTTAATATCTGAACATCAAGTAGTATATTAGATAAGAAATCAACCATGTAGTTGCTATGCACTTCTATATGTGCCTATCACCATGGTTTATCACCGACAACACAATCTGCTTCAGATTCCCTAAGCTTGCTCCTCCCGGCTCCAAGGCCAACATGCATATATCAAGAGAAACTTGTCTCAGCTAAGGCGATACTGAGATTTGAAGAACACCATCAACACCTTGGTGTAGGTCAGGGATCTACATACCCCGGGACTTCTGTTCATAATGATGTCATGCTTGCCAGCTGCACTATCACATGACACAGCTTCATGTTCCTTTAGCCACTCTATTTGGCATTGGTAGCAGGAAACAAGTTCTCACAGCTCTTATTACTTGATGATGTGAATGAATTTACAATATATGAAGACTTTCTGCAACACATGTTTGCTGCGCTGAACTCCACATATCTAGCACTATATTTGTGCATCTCCTTTAGAAACCCACTTGATAACAAAGTTTGCCGCTGATGCATGTGAATTTTAAAGGTCTGTTTGCCTCCTCCCTTTCTAAGTTAAACAATAAAATACTCTCCTAAGGAGATATTCTCTCTATCCATAAACAGAAAGGGGGAGAGATTCCTGCTTGCCTACTTTCTGGATCGAAAGCAAGCGGGCTCTACTAACCAAGCTAAGCCCAGGTTTAGCTTCTGATTGTCAGAAGCACTAGCATCAATTCCTAATGGCTTGCCTTCAGGTTGACATTGAGCTACATTGTGCACTGTGTACAAACATGAATTTTGAGAGAAGCACAATAATCTGAGAGAAATCTTTCTTCATCATTCAGGACCACTTCATTAATGGGGACAACCAAGTGTTACTTCTCCCATCAAAACCTAGTCATGACTAGGGAGAGAATGACAAGTGGTATTTTTTCCATGATGAGGCCTTAAAATTATGCACCGAAACTGTGAGAGAAGTGCAAGATTAGATCAGAGCATGTTTCAGCATATTGATAAATAATCTGGGAAGAGATGACCAGCAGCATTATATATTTTGTTTAGTTCATTGTAGATCTAATGGGCAAGGGACCAAGGGTGTTCAAGATCCAGTTGGAACTGAATAAACCAGCCAAACCAAAACAATTTGGCCAGGTTGATCATCATATTTATGGCTGGTGGGTTTAGGAAAACTTCAAACCAAGAAAACTCAGCTTGATTGACGGCTCGTAAAACCAAATCAGCCATTTTGGCGGACCAGCTGCATATAATAATATATATATATATATATATATATCAGGGATTTATAGATAAAGTGGTAAGAAGGTTTTTTCGTACGGTGACAAGGGTTCAAAGCACCATCAATTTATAATTCAAAATAATAACAAGCAGTTAAATAAACCTAAACCTAATTACATGTTTACTCTTACATGGGTTCTATTGTTTGCTTTTTTTTCTTTTTTTTTAAACATGGATGATTTGATAGTTGAATGGTTGGTTATGTATTTTCTTTTCTTAAACAATGTATGATTCAATTTACTTGTGAATAGTTGGATCATAAGTGTGTATTTTTACCATTAGTTGTCATATGAGTTTTTTCTTGTCAAACCTAAAAAAGATAGAAAAAATGGCCCATGCTGCCAAACCAGTTCAGGAAGGTTTGGCCGGTTCTCCCAGGCCAAGTTTGGCTGGTTTGATTTTGGCATTTTGTCAAACCAAATTTACTGGTTCAACTGAGATTTGCCCCTTAAATTGGCCGGGCCATGAACACCCCTAGCCATGGGTGGTTACTACTAAAGTCCAAAGTAGAAGCAGGAAGTTTGAATAAGTGAAGGAAAAAAGGGATCATAGTAGTGTTACCTCATCAAACACAGGAACACTTCCTCCAACGAGTCCTGTGTTTCCACCTTGAGGAACAACTGCCAAACATCTGGAATTGCAATACTTAAGAATTTGAGATAACTGCATAAAAACACAATAGACAGTAATAACTATATGCAATTCAAGCCAGCCTCAACAACCACTTCGGCAAAAGAAAGAGATATGAACCTCATCAGTGTTCTCAGGTTGGAGCATAAGCTTACTTGAGCCTTTGTACTTGTGCATCCAGTCTGTGTTTGCAGGTTGTAGTTCTTCGTCATCCTGGATAACGTTTTTCACCCCTAATATCTTCTCAAAATAGATGATATCATCATGATTAATAGTTGAAAACAAGGGGTTCCTCTGAACTATGGTGGAGGCCACTGAACCAAAATTCCTCTGCTGGATTATAGGCATATTCTGCATGTGAATCAGGGAGGATTTCTGAAGATCCCATCTACAACTTGCAAGAAAATGCTTGAGAGGCACAGGGCCACAATGATGGGTAACACCTGCAATACACAGACATGGTAAAATAAAGTAAAATGTGTCTGGATTCAGTTCCAAGGGCCACAGCAAGACGAATTACTTGATAGTTAAAAGGAAATCCAACAACAACAAAAGCTTTTTATCCCAACTCCCAAGGACCCAAACCAATAGTGATAGGCTAAAAATGAAACCCAAACTAGTTAAAAACAGTTCAACCCAAAAGCAAAAATAGAGAAATGAACCTACATTGTGGGACAAAATGGCGTTCTTCCATGCACCCTATCTAAAGCCAATTTTATTGGTGTGCACAAATCGGGCAAATCATTCTTCACTGCTTACCCCTACTGTCAATCTTGGCCAACCTCTATCTCTCATAATGACCTCTTCTAAGTCTCTTCTAAGCGTTGCATTTAAAGGTTTAGGTTGGAGATCACCAAACCACCTCATATCTTGGTGCATGTTAGAGTCTGCATATCTTAGTAGGTCTTACTGTTTACCATTGTCCTACAAAACTTGTCCCAAATAACAAAACGTATCCTTCTTGACTACTTGTCCAATTAAGGTTGCATTTGGTACATGGGACGGGACAAAACTCATTGTCCCACATTTGGTGCAGCATGGGACAGAACAAGAACTCACTATCCCACGTTTGGCTTGACAAGGGACATGGACAAGAACTGAGACAAGGTGGGATAGCATAGTACAAAAGAGGCTTTTTTTTGTTCGACCAAAATAGGTGGAACAAGAATGAGATAGAAACTAAAATATTACCAATCTACCCTAGTTTGATATATAACCTTAACGTGGTATTTGTTTTAATTGTCATCACCGCTAGTTTCGGCCGCCGCTCCACCTCCACCTCCTCTTCCACTACAACAACATCCTCCACCACCTCTACCATAGTCGACCACCACCGCCTCCACAACCACCTCTACCATAGTCGACCACCACCGTCCATTGCCACCACTACTGTCGTTCGCCACCTCAACTCCTCCTCTACTACAACAACTTCCTTCACCACCAACTACCATCGTCCATTGCTACCTTTACAACCACCATCGGCCACCGACCACCACCACCCATTACCACCAACACTACCACTGTTGGCCACCTCCAACTCCTCCTATACCGCAACAACCTCCCCCATGACCTCCACAACCACCGTCGACCACCACTGTCCATTGTCACCTCTACAACCACCATCGCCCACCAACCACCACTGCCTCTACCTCCATAACGACCGTCAGCGACCGACCACCACTACCCGTCGCCACTACTACCGTCGGCCACCACCGTCTCCACCATAACCAAAACCACCTCCACCACCACCACTACCACCATCAATTATATCAAATTTTTCATTCAAATTTGGTACCATTATATATGTATGTATTCATTTATATGAAAATTGTGTAAAAATATTTTTAAATCAAATTCTTTAATTATTTACTTTATTTGTGCTAATTATAACTATTATATAATATTTAAAACCATCAAATAACTTTTGGGGATCACTTGTCTAGTTTTGTGTCGTCCGGTCCTAGTCGTCCCAAACACCAAACATACATTTTTTCTGTACAGTCCAGTCCAGTCCAGTCCCGTCCCGTCTAGTCTAGTCTTGTCTTGTCTTGTCCAGTCCTACCCTCTTGTGTTGTCCAGTCCTATCCAATCATGTTTGCGAACCAAACACTACCTTATGTTTGACATATCTTAAGCTTTTCTATCAACACCACTAAAGTTGAACAAATGATTTCACCGCTAAAAATTTATATTGATTTCCTTTATATCCCCAATATATCAAAATAACATATTATAATTTTGTGTACTCCCCAATAAGATCACTATTTGGTTGCTTAATTAACTCACAAATTAAACCATTCTCCAGGTTGAATACCATACAATTCGCAATGAAATTCACATAAAAAGTGAGGGTATCAGATAATTCATACTTTTCCCGTATCATTTTATTGTTCGTTAATCCCAATTACTAACAAATGAAGAAGTAGTTACAAAAAGAAACCACAACAGCGATTTGAAACCTACAAAGAGAAATTTAACCTTGTGAAGAAAATCTAGCTGTGAATTGCGAATCCACATGCAAAAGTAAATCGGGGATAATTATAAATATAGGCCGTGAAAGAAAAAAGAAAGAAAGAAAGGTGATCGTAGAGCAGCACCTTCTGAAGTTGAAGACGATCGGATAACTTGATTGAAATTAGCGTTGAATCGGCGATGATGATGAAGGATCCTGTTAGAGGCGTGATTCTTTTGGTTGAGTAGACGATAAGAAGAAGTAACAGCAGCTATTCGCTTCTTCATGTTCGTTTTCGCTTGTCCCTCTGGAACTCCCTTGTTTCAGTGGGATTAATATATCCGTTAAAACTCCATATGCATCACTTTTTATCAATCTGCCAAACGGTCATTATTAAGTGCTGATTATCGAAAAGAGGTTTGTTGCCATTTTTTTTCTACTTTTGTAGATTATTTTTATCAAAATTTATTTTTGTTTTTCTGCTATTTATATCAAATAATATTTTTGTTATTATTAAAATCTTAAAAATTACATTTATACTTTTTTATTTTTTATTTTACAAAAAAGAATTTAATATTCAATATTTTAAAAAGTTTTAAAATAAACTTTATATAACATAAGTTATATAAACCATCTTACTTTCAAGTGTCTATAAATAATGAAATGGGACGGATTTGATAAAATTGGTACAAACGTAATTTCAGTTTGACACGCTGATAATTTAATACCACTTTTTTAGTAACAATGATCAATCCTATACATAACTGATCACACGGACCAAGCTTTTGAAATGACATAAAACTTGTAACTAATAACACACAGTCAGGTCATGACCGGTGTCCGTTGTCGGGCGGGGCTTGACCCAATTGGCTATCTCTATTGTAAATGACAAAACGGGCTTCAACATTTGTCATTGTTAGAGGTTTGATGGTCGAGAAGGCCTAACTTAAGGCCCAATGTATAGACCTAGCCTGATTTGGGTCAAACTCGATAGTCAATAGCAAACGTAGTTCTATAACATGAATTATATTAGAAAGTAAATTAAGATACTTCAAATTTATAATTGAGTAAATAAGATCATTCTTCACGATCGAATTCACATCAAAATTAGTGTGTTAGATATCATATACATAAACATAAAGTCCCTAACTCGTTTTGTTTACTTTTTTCATATATGTTCAATAATGCGACCAATAGATTTGGATGAGCGAAATAATCAGTGTAGATTAGTAGGTTCAACAAATAAATATAAACATATCTGAAATAATACTTTAAATTGTAGCTTTTGATGAAAAGAGATCATGTAAAAAATACTTTTATATACATTATCAAAGGTTTGTAACTTTTTTTGTTATTCTCATTTGATTGCCATCATATGTGTGTGTGTATATGTGTATGGTTTCATTTACAAATACAACCGTTAATACAAACCAATAAGAGTTTTATTTTGCAAACCATATTATTTGTATAAATCGTGCAAACTTCATTCAATCAATCATAATTTTTTCCTTTTTTTTGTAATTAATGAGGGATTGATTAGTCATTTTTTATGGAATGTGTTAATTATGGATATTATCATCTTCATTATATTAATTTTAGAAAAATACMTGAAACAGTTTCATTAAAACATAGAAACAACCATATATGAAACAATTTCATCAAAAAAAGTATTATATGAAACAATTTCACCAGATAAAACAATTTCATTAAATTAAATAATGAAATCGGCGAATGATGGTGATTTGAACGATTTGTATAACTATGGGTGGTTTACATTTGATTGTTCTTCTACAAATCAATCTCAACTATTCATCTAGTATAATGGATATCTGATTCAATGAATATCTCGATTGTTTTAAAATATAAAGCGTTAATCATAATAATGAATGTTAATCTTTCATAAATATCCAAAACATAACAAATAAACTCTTTCTACTTCTATAAATATCTTAATTAATTGGTTTGTGTGGTATGTACTAATCATTGGGTTTGTAAAAGAGAGAGAGAGATATATATATATATATATATATATATATCTCATATATATATATACATACATATTACTTTATAAACCAGATTTGATAAAAGTCTTAAAAACAACCTTAAATGCAACAAGTGTTATCTTGTGATGCATGAAGTCTTAAAGTCTTACAAACAACTTTGTATGCATTAGGTGCTATCTTTTCGTACACAATCTCTTAAAAACTCTTAATTACAACATTTTATCCTTGATGTACAACTCAACAATGCTATAGAAAAACGCACTCTGAGAACTTATCTTTCCAAAGCGACGATTCACGCTTCATCTATACTATCTTATAAAGCAAATTTAGCAAAAGTCTTAAAGTCTTAAAATACTAAATGACCAAGATACCCTTTATACACTTTTTCACTATTTCACCCCTCTCTCCTCTCCTCACATGCACTCACCCCCTCACATACACTCACCCACTTACAACATTTTTTTAAAAAATTTACACTTTATACCTCTATAATTAGTTAATTAATTTACTTTACGTTCTTTACTTTTAAATGTTTCATTTTAAACATTTATCAAATTAACATACATAATCGTATATCAATTAAAACATGTTTAAAAAATACATTTTTATTTTAACAAGTTACACCATTATAGTCGTCTCTTTAATACCTTCGAAATGAGTCAAATATTGAATAATTTTTTACTTAATTATATTATTATATATTATATATACTGTGAAAAAATATTTTTAATATTTACGATTTATACTTTTATAGTTATTTATTTATATATATACTATATATTTTGGGGTTAGGCTGTCCAAATTGCACTATATAATATGTTCTGAATTAATATGTTTTTGAGTTTTTTTGAAATATATATATATATATATATATATACACACATGTATTAATTCAACCTTAATTTGAGTTTCTGGACAAGAAATAGGGTAAACAGTTGAAATTTCATTCTAAAACTCATTTTTTTTTGTCTTTTCATGGCTTATGATATGTTAAATTTGTAGTTTTCTTTATTGGTTTTGAGTGTTTATCTTAAAACTCAACTTTCTTGGTTTTGCTCTTGGTGTAAATCGAACACATTTGTAGAGTCGTTTAAATATATTGGATTTTAAACTGTCATACAATTTTTTTTCATCAATAGTCTGTAATTGGAATTACAACTCTTATTTATTCAAATTGTATTAATATGTAAAGACCAAGTGTAACCTATATCATCGTTAAATCTTATCTTATAAAACCAGTGGAACTTCAAAATCGTTAAAATTCATTGATTCCGTCGCATTGCGCGGATACCCAACTAGTTGTATATCAAAATGACGATTCAGAAAAAGCTCTCATCGATCACACAAAAGTTCTCAATGAACATTGATATTATGATTATTATTTCATATCGATTCCTGATATATGTATATGCTTTATTACATATTCACGCATCTATTCGATTCAAACTTCTGTCCAGATATGTTAATTTGCTTTCATCTACTATTTCATTCCATCGATTGTTACATTCCATGGATTCAACCATCAATTCTTGGATTTCATGTTTTTGCTTTCCATCGATTGTTGGATTTCAGCAATAGATTCTTGAATTTCAGCCATCCATTTTGTCTCTAGGGTTTTTTTTTTAATGCCTTTGTTATATGTTCTCGATTGTTAATTAAATGTCTTTGACGAGTGTGTGCTCAAAATTGCTTTCTCAACTACTTTCCCATCGTTTCTTTTGCAGGAATTGTCGTAATCATAGTTGTTGGCAACGATAGTGTAAGTTTGATCCTTCGATTATGTTTCTCAACTAATCAATACACTGTGAACTCAGCACAATTGTGGGTTAGGTTGTATCCTCCACAATCATATAGCTTCTTTCTTACCCGCATGCAGAGGCTTGTAACCAATCGAAACGCTTCAAATTCCAGTATCACATTTGGCCATTTGGGTATTTTAGTATGTTCTTGAAATAAGTTGGATTATGAAAAAAAAAATCCATATATTTCAAATTTCGACATCGGGGGTGTGCTTGAATTGATGGAGTTCTTACTGCTTCCGTTTTGTATGTGAAATTTAGTGTTACAAGTTCTGTAGAATACTCAATCTGTAGCTAGAGTTTGAAAATTTGATGTTTGATGTTGGTACATTTCAATTTTAAAATACAAATTTGCTATGGATTTTGTTGATCATTTGTTACCAACATTTTCAGTTCATGATTCTTGTAAATTTTGATGGGTAACTGAATATGTCTAAAAGCATTTGGAATTCACAAAAGTTTTGACACTTTACCTATTTGATAGTCCAGTTCAAATTTTAGGCAAGAACATAATATTAGGTTTTTCTGTCAAAATAATGGTGATGATGATTTGTAATCATAATGGAATGATAACAGTGATGATGGTAAAAGGTTATTGAAAGGGTTGTTTTTGTTTTAAGAGAACTTTTATTTTTTATTGGAGTTTCTAATCTCAATCTAGAAACTTCTTTAAAAAGTATTTCTCTAACGAGGTTGAAGGGTTTGGTAAGTACAGCTTCACACATTCTTGTTTAAGTTATATTGTTTCTTCATCTAATAATATTTCGCATCCATAAGCAGAAAGATATAGGTGATCGTGTTTGTGGTTAGAAGACAAAGGAGTGAAAGAAAATCAATGGCACTAGATACGACAACCGGAAACAATGGTGTTGTATTCACCGAGGTCGACATGGGTTCTTCTGACTCAACTGTTCGACCCACTATTGTCTAGGCCTCCACCATCTTCTATGATACCCCTACTACCCTAGGTTTGGTTCACTTCATCCCCCAACAGTTTCTGCAATTGTGTTTTCAATTATATTTGTGGTATGTTCCCCTATGCTCTTTAATTTATGATATTGACATGATTTGCAGAAGTACATAATTCATGGAAAGTTCTATGTTCCAATTTTTGTACAAGTGAAAATGAATGATTGCAATAATGACAGTAGACTCATGAAAGAAATTTGAGTAGGTCATGCATTTTATGCTCTCTATCTATGAACTCATGAAAGAAAATTGGTTGGTAAAGAAGGTTGGTTTGAACTTAATGATACACAAGAATATTGTCAAAAACCTTGATATGTCAGATGATATTCTGTAGGTAATATAAAAAAATCCCCTTCATTCCACTACAAAATGTAAAACTTTTACTTATGTGGTCAAATAACATCAATTTTGGTACATATATTTTGTTGATAAATTGTTTCAAGCACCAACATAACCGAAAGAGCCCCTTCTCTCAAAGAGAAGAGGACGGATTATTCACATTTGATTTGATGGTCAGAGATGTTAAAGTTCAAAGTTTGTGGTGATATGTACATTAAATAA